CAGCCCAAAAAAGTTGAAAAAGTTGAAAAGGTTGAAAAATCTAACAATCAATTAAAGTCAAAATGGAGCTACAAGGCAGTAACTCGAGAACTTCCATTTGGCAACGAAGATTATATAAGAGATCTTGAACATAAGTATTGGAAAAATTTGGCTTATTTTTCTCCATATTATGGAGCCGACTTGGATGGTAAACTGAATTTTTATAAACTAAATTTCCAATAGGAATTATAAATAAAAAATTTAAATTTTAATAATCTCTACTTCGATAGGTTCTCTTTTCACTGATTCAACTACTACATGGAATGTCAATAACATTGATAACCTTTTGAATTTAATGGATCCAATTCCTGGCGTAAATAAAGCGTATCTATATTTTGGAATGTGGAAAGCTTCTTTTGCTTGGCATGTCGAGGTAAGTTTCTAAATAGATTTACATATTTGCATTAAATCATTATAATGAATTTTCGGTAATAAACTATATAGGACAAAGATCTTTATTCGATCAACTACATTCATTTCGGTGCTCCAAAATTTTGGTATGCTATATCTCCTCAAAAATCTGCTACGTTTGAGCAAAAGATGAAAGGTAAGTTTTTTTTTTCATATCGTGCCTTTTTTTTTGTATTGTTATTTATATGGTTACACAAAGTCGTGTAACAACTGATAAACAAAAAAACTTTTCCATCATAAATTTTAGAATACATTAAATATTTAATAAATTCTTTAAAATTTTTTGAATTGTAACTTTCTATTTCTTACAAAGATTTTAAACCATTTTATTTTTTAAAAATAAATAATTCAAAAAAAAAATTTAGGATGGTTTCCTGGGTATTTCTACGAGTGTTCGGAATTCTTACGTCACAAGGAATTCATGGCATCACCTGAACAACTTAGGAATGGAATCATGCCATTTGGAAAAGTGGTTCAAAGAGAAGGGGAGTTTATAATTACATTCCCTCGTGGTTATCATGCTGGGTTTAACATGGGATTTAATTGTGCAGAAAGTGTAAATTTTGCCTTTGAAGATTGGATTGAAATGGGTATTAAGGCTAAATCATGTGAATGTAATCCCGATAGTGTTACTATTGATGTGAATGGTCTTTTTGGACACTTGTTGAAACAGCCTATTTCAGAAGGTACATGTCCAATCGATAAAAGTATAGAAGCTTCAGTTATCGAATTGCCATCTCGTCCACTTCAAAAAATAAAAGGATCGCGGAAAATGGCCTCTTCAAATACGCCAATTGCGATGGACCTGGATGGACCGGTAACTTTAATGTATCCCGAACATAGTTACGTATCGCCATCACCTGATTCCGATATGATCGCATCATTAGCAAATAGAACAAGGATTGGTTCACATTTTAAGAGTCAAAACCGGGAACATAGAATAATGAACTCACCGCGCGAAGTTAACAAGATGAAATCTCCACGTAAAAAGAATTCACTAGATAAACTTGTTATGGTCAATAATGAAATTTCATTTTCTAAAGTAGAAAAAATGGAGACTAATGAGAATGGTCATATTGATCATAATAAAATGGATAAGGTTGAAACCAAAAATTGCAATTATACCGATAGAGTAACGTTGTTTTATTTGTAGTCCATTTGTATGTTTATAAATCGATTAATATACTAACCAGATTAATTATGACTTTTATTTAATCAGTGTGCTTTATGTCCGGTTGTCGGTGTAAAATCTGATATCATGGACGAAAGGTTTGAAATGGTACACAACAAAGAATACCATTTAGTCCATCGGTAAGTGCATTGGAAGATAAATAAAACAACAGATTTTTATTTTTATTCTTTCTATATGGATGTAATATTTTTTTTTTTTCTTTTGATCCAGATTTTGTGCATTGTTTGTTCCGGGAATGTTTATTTCTGCTAACGAAAATTATGATAACAATGAAGTGGCGACTGACTACAGGGATGCTCCATATTATAAAAAATATAAAGATTTGGTAAGTATTAAAATCTTTTTTTCATTCATAAAAAAAATTGATGTAAATTAATGCGGTTTAAAATTCTATTTTTTTTCTTTATTAGAAATGCGAGGTTTGTAGCATTCCTTCTGGAAGTTGTACCCAATGTCCATATCCCAATTGCAATAGATCATATCATATATTATGTTCTATTGACATCGATTGTGCGTTATATGAACGTCAAGACGCTGTTGGTGGAATACATTATGAAATCTGGTGCCCTAATCACATTCCAGTAAGTAGAATTATGATTACTATTATTATCATGATTATTATTTTAACAATATTATTAATATAAATACTTTTTCATAGACTGAAGAATATCTTCTTGAGATAAGCAGCAAAGTTCTCCCACCAGGTTACCAACAAGAATGTGAAATTTAAATATTTAATCAGTTAAATAATTTTTTTTATTAAGATATATAAATGAAATTTTAACGATTTTAGCATTTACAATTCTCTGATTTGAATTTTCTTGCAAAAATTATTACAGATAGTTTCATAATATTTGTTTAAATTATTACACAAAATTTTATCATATTATTAAGAATTGGGTAGAATAGTAGATTTAATTGAAAGTTTATAATAAAAGCATAGGTTGCAGATTACTGTTATCGTTTTTTTCATTTCTATTTAATTTAATGTATAGAAAATCCAATGAAGGTAATGATTCTTGAAAAATGTTTATTTAAAATGTAAAAAATATATTTTATTAAAGAAATTTCTTAGTTTTACACGAGATGTATGTATCCGTATCATGTGACAAATATTATCACTGGTGTCACTCCCCTCCATCTTTAGTTTTTCAGGGATTTAGAATTTTTTCGGTGAAAAATTCATATTCGTCGTCATACAGGTAATTTCTTAATTCTTCATGTTAGTAAAAGTACTGTTAATGCCGGTCGTATCACATGATACGTATACTAAAATATGGAACCTTGCAATAAAAAGGGGTAAAATAAAAAATGAGTTTATGCTAGATCTGAATCTGAAAATCATATTTGACATATAAAAAGTAAAATCGTTTTTTTTGGCAGTTTCTTTCTTTTATTACAAAGATTTTATATCTAAAAAAATACACTTTTCAATATAACATTAATTTTATATTTCAGCTAAAGTATACAAATATTTATTATTGTTATTCAATATTAAATGATATTTATTTTTAGATTCTAATAATTTTTGTAATTGCTTGGGTTTTAAAATTGATTATTAGATTTTAAAGAAAAGTAATTAGTAATAAATTATTAAATCATGTAATAATATTTTAATAATTAGATTGCTTTAATATTAAAAAGAAAAAATAATCTTTAATAAATTTCTAATATAAAATTATTATTAATACTTTGTATACGGTAAAAATTTTTATCTATTGAATTATTTTATTATTAAATTTTATAGCTATAACAATAATTATTTAAGTTAAATAAAAATTTTGAAATTTATTTAGTTTAATACAGTCAACTCTTTCTACAACGAATTTTGATATAACGAATTTTACAATACAACGGATTTTCAGTGTCAGACAG